CTGAGGCAAATTGTCCGTTTTTATCATGGTAGGGATACCACTTCTGGATCAATTGTTATATCTTCAAATATAACAGTCCTTAAGGTATTTTTTAAGGAATGTACTGAAGCATTAAGGCTCTTAACTGAATCTCCAGAGTTGTGGTCATAAAATTGACTTGCATCAAATACATGGAATAAATGGTTAGGAAAAGGACTTGCACAAGCTGTTTTCTCTTTAAAATCTGTTCCAAATTATAGAATGAGTGCATAATTCAAATAGAGGAGCTGGCCACTAAAACCCTGCAGTGCTAGGCCACAGCTGATGTTGAGCAGTGTAGTTATCTTGCTTTCTTGTGTGCCTCAATATCTAATTTTCTTTACTGTTTTGTTTGTTTTGGTTTTTTTCCTTTCCTCCTGGAAGTACTTTCTATGGTTTAGAAAGCACTGATCTTGTCATGTTCTGATGTCTTCCAAAGAGGTGAACTTCTTGGACTGCTGCTTTTTTGTTTTGTTTAGCTGCCTTACAATTACCCAGCCTGCTGGAAAGTGCCTGCTTTCAGCTGTGTACATCATCTCGCTGGCAATTGAGATGTCCAGAGAATTGTCCCTTGTGCCACATACTTTGTAGGATTGCTTTAAAATGCTCAGTCAGGACTCTAAGAGTAGCATTGAAAAAATTCCCAATTACCTGTTGAGAACTAAACATTCTTTTTTTTTTAAAGGCAGGACCATGAATGTTTATAAGTGTTGTTCAAGTTGCAAATCAAAATGGAAATCTTTTCAGTAGGGCCTGTTCTTGCAATTCACAAGTAGGTGTGTTCAGCTGGTGTTGTGTGTTTTTTTTAAGCTGTTGAAATTTGTCTGTATTATCTCTGTAAGTTGAGGAGCTCAACTACTCTGTTTCCAGTTAGTAAGAAAATGGGTTATACTGGAAAAGTCAAGCATAACTGACCTGCTAATAAGAATAGAGTTTGCTCTTATTGATTAATAGTATCCTCTGATTTATATTTTATTTAATTAATGATTTCATTCTGGGCTACTGAGTCATATTTTTGAGTCGAAATCTGTTCTGCTGGGCTGACTTTATTTAAGTACACATGCAATAAAATTCCTGGGTTGTCAATAGACTTAAGAGTTTTTAAGTTTTTCAGATTTTTTCAGAAGAAATGACACTTATGCGTGATATAGGAGACACAAACGGGTCCTTTTTTTTCTTACTTCTTTCAAATCAGGGGCTTGAGGTGAAACTATGCTGCTTCTGCCATTCAATTTCCATAATACATTTCCAGGAAGAAGCTCTTCTTCATCTTTGTTACTTGCTTGTAAAGTTTATCATGTTAGCTTTCTCCTGCATTGTATTCAAGAAGTTTTTGTGCTTGAGCTTTCCCATTGCACTTTAACTGAATGTATAACATTTACAGTAATATTCAGCTTTTTCTGTCGACATTGAATTTTGGAGCCCAAGTGAATGGCTGCAATGCATAGGCTAAAATGGAAACGAACTAATTGTTAAATATTGAGTCTGCTCTTGGTCATGTTTCCTAATTTTACAGGCTTTCCTCTTCCCTCTACTTTTACAGTTTATGTGCTGTGTATGTTCTGTGTGACTTAAGAACGACCAGGATCTACTTTCTGTACTGACTCTATAAAGCTGCTGCTGAGTAAAAACATATCACCACCTGAGACTGGTGGTTTGCTGAAGTATTGGTTAGTGGCAGCTACAAACAAATCCTGATGCAACACTGTCCATCATTAGGGAATATAGGGAGAATGAACAGCAAGTATCATTGTATGAAACACAGGACCTGCCTGTGTGTTGGATGCTGTCTGCAGTTTTGGGAGGTACAAGGGGAGCTACAGAAAGAAAGGGGGAAACGGGCTTCTTAAAAGTGGTACGAAATAGATGATGGGAATTGGAAGTGACCAGCACTTACAGAGTCACCAAGGCAGTGGGTAAAGCAGTTGTGGAGCTGTTATTCACCAAATTGTGTAATATTAAGATTGTAGAGTGCTCCCAGAGGTTTGATTTAGAAAAGAAAGTTCACAAGGAGAAGCAAACATATGCAGTTTGTTGATACACAGGATTATACAGGCAGATTATATACAGCAGATTCAAGAAAACAAACTCACGTGCATCAAATCCCTAACAGATGCGAGTGGAATAGGCAGAGATGTGCACTTTACCAGCTGTAATGGAACTGCTGTGCATATTGAGGAGTCTGAGGAAAATGGACGTCAAAGAAGTGATTAGCGCTTCTGTGCTGATGATTGTGTTGGAGACAGAACGTGCCCTTAGACTCACCTCTGGTCTCGGCAACATGCCTCTGTTTTGTTACTGAGTTTCTTCTATCTAGAAAGTGTTCAGGGAGGAAAATCTCATATTATACTTTGTTTATAGAATTTAAACCAAAGTTCCTCAAGCAGTTCTCAAGTTACTATTTGACAAACAGAAGGCTACATGATAGATGATAATGTTTTTAGTAACTTTTACATTCTGGGGGAGATCAGAGTTGCGATACCTCATTGTGTTCAGGCTTTAGAGTAAGCTTTTAACAGCTCTTTTTTTTCTAGAATTTTTTTTCCTAGAATTTTTTTTCTAGATTTTTTTTTTATATACCACATATATTATACTATATATATGTGTGTGTGTGTGAAGATTTGAAAATCCCAGCCATTGTTGCTATCACTATTTAGAGACGCCAAGTTTTTGACGGCAAATTTCTCTATTCCTATAACTATGCAATAGGAACAATCCTAAGAAACTGCCCAATTTATAATTTTACAATAAATATGAAGCATGTATCTCTTTGAATCATAATGTAATTCCAGTATTCAAAATTATTGTGGCATAATTCTCTTGTAGATTTTTTCAAAAAGTGGAGAGAAATGGGTATATTTTAAACAATAAGACCATATTTCTAGTATCATTAGTCTTAGAACATTTACTTTTCCAGAAGAGTTCACACATTTATACCAAGTACGTTCTCATATTCACTAATGGCTCTACTTTTACTGTTAATGGGAGGGATTGAAAGGAATATATCTCAATAGAAGCCACAGGGAATGAATGCAGATGTGTATGTTGTGCTATTAAATGTGTAATTAATTGGTTAAATCTGAATTGCAATCTGTGTAAAAAGAACGAGCATGTAAAATGTTATATGTGAGGTACTCATTGGGATGGACAAAGAGACACATCTGTATAGATCTATCTGCACACACATTGTAAATGTTTTATTTTCTTTTCCTTCACAAAGTCCTGATTGCCATTGTTGTACTTGGTTTGTGGTTTGTTTTTTTTTAAGCAGATTTATAAGGTTCTTTTAAAAAACCTTGAAATATTTAATAGCCAAAAAGATCCCTAGTTAAAAGAGAGCTAAAATAATTTAAGTATCATTTAAAAGTGATACTTGAAACTGAAAAGAAAGTGTGAAACACTTTCACTTGCTACAGATTATTTTTGTGCAAAGAAATTTGCTGTGGTAGAAAAGCCATTCTTTTGGCACTCATTTTTCAGCAACATTCAGTATAAATCTCTAGATTCCTTTCAGTTGAAGTTTGCCTCCAGAGGTTCTGGGTTTCCATGGTATCTAATCCCTTTTTAACAGACACACTTGGTATTTCTATACAGCTGTGGAATGGCAGCAGTGGACTTCGGTTAGCTTATTTTCTTCTAGTGCTGATTTTACACCTTTGACCTTCTGACATATTAACTACTGTTGGAAACTTTCTGCAGAGATGTCTCATGAAAAAAAAAGCCAAACAAAAAAACAAACCAACCCACTTCATTATCATGAAGGGATATTGCTAGATCTGGGTGTTAGAGAGTTGATGCTTGCCAAGTGATGGGATGGTGAGGAAAAGAAAATTATGTGCATCTGTTCTGTGCAGTCAGGAATTCTAATCAGATTTGATCACTTAGTTTTGAATACATAAAAGCAAAAAGTAGCTAAAAATTTCTATACTGCTCATTTTACTGAAGTGCCTTATAAACTTAATTGCTTAGTAGTGCAGTGTTTATTAAACTGAAGTTTCACCAGTCTTTAGAGGATGGTGTTTCTCTGGAGTGCTGTGGCCAGGATTATATTGCAGCAGAACATGCATTTGGTAGAGAACTGGAAATAGTTGCTTTCCTGCTAGCTGGTCTGCATGCGTTCATGGGAGATTGCTGTTAAAATACACATTTGAAGAAAAAGACATGTTGTAAACTACCTTATTTGTGCAGGATAAAAAACTGATATTGAGGAGAAAGCTAGCAAGTTAAAATATGATGTGTTTTGTTTGGCATATTTTCTTTCTCAAGAATCCTTGTATTCTAGAAAATTGTGAAATATTTCTTTCAAAAAGCTGTTGTGGATATGTTTTTTTCCAAATGAGCAATAAAATGAAAACACTTATTTTGCAGAAAGATTTATTTAGCTCTTCAGCTCTTAAAATTATTCTCTAAGTATAATTACAGATTATTGGTTTTAGTTTTGATTTTTCAGTGGCTGCTAGTGACCTAAATCAGAGCTGATTGATCTTAGCACTTGCCCTCAGCAAGTTTGCAGATGACACCGAGCTGTGTGGTGTGGCTGACCTGCTGGAGGGAAGGGATGCCACCCAGAAGGACCTTGACAGGCTTGAGAGGTGGGTGTATGCAAACATCATGAATTTCAACAAGGTCCAGTGTATAAGGTCCTGAGCCTGGGCTGGGGCAATCCCAAGCACAAAATCCTCTGCCATGGGTACTCCCAGCCCAGAGAGCCAAACGTGTCCTGGGCTGCATCCAGAGCAGCGTGGGCAGCAGGGCCAGGGAGGGGATTCTGTCCCTCTGCTCTGCTCTGCTGAGACCCCACCTGGAACCCTGCATCCAGCTCTGGGGTGCCAGCACAGGAAGGACATGGACCTGTGGGAGTGAGTCCAGAGGAGAGACACCAAAACGATCAGAAGTCTGAATGAAGCAGCTCTCCTATGAGGAAAGGCTGAGAGAGTTATGATTGTTCAGCCTGGAGAAGAGAAAGCCTCGAGTGAGCCCTTATGGCAGCCTTACAGTGCCTAAAGGGGCTGTGCAAGAAAGCCAGAGAGAAGGCCTTCTTACAAGGATGTGCAGTGATAGGACATGGGAAAATGGCTTCAAACTGTAGGAGGGTAAGTTTGTATTATATATTATCTTGTATTATATATAGGAAGAAATTGTTTCCTGTGAAGGGTATGAGGCACTGGAACATGTTGTGCAGAGAAGTTGTGAGCACCCCATCTGAGGAAGTGTTCAAGGCCAGGCTGGAAGGGGCTTTGAGCAACCTGGTCTAGTGGAAGTTGTCTTTGTCCATGGTAGGGGGATTGGAACCCTGTTGTCCTAGGGCTCCCTTCTAACACAGACCATTCTATGATTCTATTCATGGTGATTGTGGTTTAATGAGATAGGTTTTATGTGTTTTTCTAAAAATAATAGCAGATAGTGTGACCTGTTGATACTATTAGGTGGCATTCTGAAGAAAGAAACATGATGTTTTTCTAACGGGTTCAGAATCAAATTTTATTTTAAGATATTTTTTTTTTCTTCTTTGAAAATTCCAAGATTAAGGTTTTGCTATTTACAGATAAATAAATCTTATTTTTAGACTAGTAATGCTGAAAAATGCAGTATTTGGTTACAAAACAAGCATTAAATTTGCAGCTTGTATTTGTTGAAGTGACGTGAGCTTTATGCAGCAAGAGATCTCTGCTTTCATGCCTCATTTGTAGAGAGGAGTTTATTGAAGGCTTACAAATCACTACCAGTAGGCAAGTATAAAAGTACTTGAATTTTTCAGCAAATGAAAGCATCAGGTGAAACACAGATGTGAAAAGCTCCCAGTTAGCTTTTTGAAGAGGATAGCACTTTTTTTAAGACACAGTTTGTTGCACCTATCATATTTATAATCCTATGATTTCTGTGTAATAAATACATGTGTACCAGTAGTCATTAATCTAATGCAGAAATTTTAGAGTTTTTTGTACACTGCTCTGGCAATCTTGAGTCTGTCATGCCTTTCCCTCCAATGCTAGAAGCTGCAAATGGATATTTTTGATTGACCTTTTGCCATGATCTGAAAAATTTATAATAGAGGACCAAAGTAACTTCTACCAAGTGAAGAAGATAAATCTCAGTTGCTGAGAGTGTTGCTCTTTGTGAAGGAATCAATGTATCAATGGACTGTTTTACATACAAAGGTTGAACTTGCATGATTTACTTGATTGTCTCCACAGTTTTACTTGAAGCAAAGTATTAGGCCCAACATCATGGAATTTCTGTGTATTGTATTAGTTTTAATACAGTTTGGAGGAACCTATGGTCTCGTCGGTGTAAGGTCAAAGCTTCTTCAAAAATGTAACTTCATTTGAAAGGTAGAAAGAAGGACATGTTAAAAGTGCTTTGTAATTTATGATTGCTAATGAGAATTTTGTGTAGCTCTCTGGTGCCCCAGACAGAGCCATCACAGCTAAAAGTCACGTTTTGACAAGATGAGCTGGTAATAAAGGTATTAAAAGAAATAGGAAAAGAAAGCTGGCTAGTTCTTTGGGGTTTTGTTATTTTTTTTAATTTCTATGGCAGTATCTCCTACAGAATTTTGTGCTACACTGAAGAAATTATGTAAGCAGCATGAAAAAGCATGTTTATAAAAAAAGGATTTTTAAAATGTGTGCAATATGCTGTTAATATGCTCAAGTTAATTGTGTTGCAGTAATTGTAAAATGTACTGGTTTCCATGAATCATATTTTATGAAAGGAGTAAAGAGCAGCTTTTGAAATGTAAAATCAGGTAAAAGAAATTGAGTGGTGTTTGTACACTATGACTGAAATTAGCATGCGCTACTTCAATGCACTTTATCAGAAAGCATCATTCTAATCTTGTGTATTTTTGGTACAAGTGATCAGACATCTTATTATATCCTTCTCCCCTGATTTTTTATTTTTTTTTTAGTGGCATAATTGAATAACTTGCTTATATTGCCACTCTTGTACAATCAGTTCATCAGAAATGAAGCAAGCTCTGTTTAGCCCGGAAAGCAAACATCTGTAGGTCAGAGGCAGTTTACTATCTGCAGATAGACAAAAAGTGTTAAGTAGAGAAAGAGTTCTTCTACTTGTAGTTTTTATTTTGATAAGCCTAAATATTTAAAGTGTCTGCATCTGTCCCCTCAGTAAAAGCTTCTGTTCTAAGCACTTTCTCGTGGGTCATGTTTCTTTGTAAGCTGTCAGCTGATTTCAGATACTGCATCTGATTACTTTGGAAATAATTATACAAAATAACAGACTCAAGTAAATAAATTGTAGAAGGAATAACTGTGTACTTTGTATAAAAATAATTTGTTTTTAAAATAAATTATTAATGTAGAAGTAGTAAATAAAGATAGCTGTATTTTCTACAATATTTTGGTGCTGAAAGGCCTGGCATTGATTTTAGCTTCTTCTGAAATGAAATAGTGAATCACTGTTTTGTAGATCTTTTCTGGGAAGGAAACTGAAGATAATATAGGGTAATAAATCATATGAAGGGAACTGTTATATTTTCCTGTGCTCTTCACCCTTTTGTAGGTACCATGAGACTGAGTCATTGTCGGCAGAACAGGCATTGCTGCTCAATTGATCTTTGAATTTTACATGTTCTATCATAGATACTTTTTGAGAATATGAGCCTGTAATGTACTGTAGTTTGGGGGCTGCAAAAGCAGGGATTGGAATACTGGCATTAACAGTTTAAGAGTAATGTGTCTAATAGCAAAGTACTCACTTTTTATAGTGAAGTTCCGTATAGTCAGCCAGATACCCCAAGTACAGAGGAAAACATGAAGGTAAAAAATTTCAGTGTCACCCATTTTTAAAATGTGAGGGAGGGAATAGGGGAAGGTTCTAATTTACAGCTGTCTGTGGTTTAATAGGTCTTGATAATTGTTTTGACCATAATCTTGACAAAAGCAGTTATGTTGCCTGCTACCAAATAATGGTTCATTGGAGGCCTGGGATGGGCTGAGATGATGAACTGTGAGTTTTCCTTAGTCCTTCAATTAAAAATTAGGTGAAAGATTCTTACTATTGGACAAAGAAGATCTTGGATACTATTTATATACTTTCAATGTTAAATGCTGCTTCAGGTGACATTTAAGTGCGTAGCATAAGTAAGGCCTTGAAACAGACATTTTCTGTTCCTTTCTGTGTGTTTTTAGCTTGGTTTCTATGGCAATGAAGCCTATGAAGGGTGTCAGGCCTCTTCTTCCCTTGTCTCCAAAAATAACTTCTAAATTTACCGCCAGTAGAAGCCAAAATTAAACGTGAAGGGGGAGGCTCAAAGATAGTTGGATTCCTACTGGTTTCAAGCAAGCTGGTGACTCCAGATAGGAGAGTCAGTGCTCTGTGAAGACAAGGCAGAGTTTCTGCAAGACAAAATGATATAACCACTGCTGTCTACCCTGCTGGTGCAGGCAAAATTTCCACTTTATTGGGGCGAAGTTCTGCTGCAGCTGGGGGGTTTTGTTTTGGTGTTTTTTAACCCAGCAAAGTAGTGCTCTGAAAGGAGCTGAAGTTACTGCCTTGAGGAGAGAGTAGGATACAGGACACTTGAACAAGAACTAACAAAAGCTAGTTTGTGTTCATGGAACTACTTGTGTTTATTATTCTAGCTGTAAACACTCAAGCTACTTAATCCAATTATTGTGGGTGTTTTTTTGTTTTTTTGTTTTATTTTTTATAAAAGGGGTGAAGGTTTTTCTTTAAGTTGCTGCATTAGTATAACCTTGGTGCTTTTCAGAATTTCTGACAGTCCTGTATAATAGAAGAGAGGATAAATAGAAATACTTATTTCCTCAATATAAGCCTTACAAAATAAAGGCACTTTGAGTGGCACTGAAGGGTTTAACAGGTCTCTTTTGTAAGGAACCCTTAGGATGGAATTTTTCCATTTCCAAATTGCAGTTGCTGGTTGTAACCATTGAATGACTCATTAACTTTGTCTTTGAAGGCAAGAAGTCTCATGTACATGTTCTTGTCTGATCTTCATGTTAACTCTATCATCTACTAAATTACTCTGCTATTAGTATATTAGAGATAATTTGGAGTAAAACAAGTTTCAAGAAAGCATGTAGAAAATGTAAAATTAAATTTCTGGGGAATGGCTAAGTTTTTCAGAGTAATATACTCTCTGACCAATGATGTATTTGTGGATCTCTCTATCTTCAGAATAGTGACAGCATTTACTGTGGTGTGGTAGGGGAAAATTGCAGTGATGGAGGAGGACAAGGGCAGGAGATGAAGAATAGAAGTAACAGAGGTCCATTTAAGTTTGCTTTATTTTTTCTCCTGCTCAAAGACCAGATTGTTTTGGTGGGGTACTCAGAACTATACACACATCCCCAGTGAGGGTCAGTGTTCCAGCCATTAGTTTAAGAACTATGCCAGTAGTGTTTTTGTTCTTTATACCTTACTTAATCAAATTATTTTTAAGAATGGGCTTATTTTTTTCTGTATCCATTACAGTACTAGATTTTTCTTGTGAATTATTGTATTTAATTTAGAACCATAACATTTTTAGCTCTCAGCTTGCTTTACTGATCTGATTGACCTTTTTAGAGTTGAGTGGTTTGTATTCTCACTTGCTTTCTGTATCCCAGAATATATTAGATTATTTTGAAGTGCTTTTGTTTTCTTTGGCTTTAACTACTCGAAATGGCTAAAAATATTTCTCATATTACTGCTACTTCTGGATCACTGATTAGGCATTAACTGACCTGATTGCTCAGGGCCCAGAAACCCTCAAAAATACCTATCATTTATATTGAAGGTGACCTCTGAGCATCAGGAAACATTTTTTTTATTTTTTTCTTTTCTTTATTTTTAGTAATGTGAAGGTGACTGAGCACTGAAACAGGTTTTCCACATAGCCTGTGTAGTCTCTATCCTTGAAGGTATTCAAAAGGTGCTTGGATGTGGTCTCATACATCCAGTTTCATACATGGTGCTTCTCCTTGAGCAGGACTTGAGAGGTTGAAGTAGGTGGGCTCAGAGGTCTCTTTCAACCTCAACCATTCTGTGGATTTTCATATAATCTGCATATTAAAACAATTTTGGTGTGAGTGTTATACTGCTTAATAAGAAATACAGCGTTCTTCTCAGAAGGCACTTTTCCCAGTAATCTGATTGTACTTTACCTAATAGGAAATATTTGTAGTTATATTATTAATATTTGTTACTGAAATAATATTTTGTTGTAGGGTGTTTGTAAAAAGTACCAATTTGAGGTTATATAATTCTTCTTTTAGATATGTTTAACTTAATCTTGTTTTTTGGTCTGGATTTTACATGTGTTTCAGTTCTTGCCTTCTAGGCATCTTATCTTGTAATTCACACTGCTGGGAACTGGCACTTTTTAAATTCTAGTACTCTTTCTTTTTTAAAGCTTGATACATTCTAAGAACTATCAAGTTAGCTAAAATAATCAAAAATGTCTTTTCTAAAAAAAGATGCTGTATCTGAATTCCACAGTTTCAATCAATATTCCTTATCCAAATTCTTATTTCTGTATATGCTTTACTGTACATGTGTTTTAAAAACTGCATCTTAATCAAGAAAGAAAAAAGAAACCAGCAACTTGAAGTTTTGTAGGGAAAGGATTGTTTCCACAGTGTAAAGAAAAGCAGAATATTTTGAGAAGTCTTAGAATTTGCATGGGGAAGCTCTGACAAGATGCAAGAGAACGAAAGGCCCAGTTACAGAACTAGAAATGTCTTAGTTGTTTTTCTTCTAGATAAATACTATAAACGATATTTCTCATCTGATGGATTTTAAAATAGGTTAATACATTTTATGACTGTACATAGGAACAAAAATATAATGGTATTAAAATATTCATATAATAGTATTTTTCCATGTGGTAAACATGGAAAACTCCAGATTTTTAAGACTCCCTGAAAATCACTGAGAAAACAACCATTCATAGGAAGAAAAAAAGGCATGGCAGTTAAGATAATATTTAGCTGATTGCTTAAAAGACTTTAGCTGATCTACTTGAAGTGGTCATGTGCTGTTTTGTAAATAATTTGTTTTGTTGATGAGAGTAATCCTGTCTCTCTTTGAACATGTCTCTGCAAGTATTAGGTTGTCATGGGAAGTATTCCCTGAATGCCTCTGAAATGTGTGTGTTTTTCTCCTAAGCTCCACAATGAGGATGACCCCCCAGAGTCTTCAGCAGCTGAGCAGCCCTCGACGTCTGCAGAGACTCCGCAGCCTCCGCAGACAGCAGCCTTACCTGAGGCAGATACTTCCCCTCCTCCTTACTGTAGCATAGCTGTGGAAGCAGCTGCAACCTCAGGTATTTTTCCTTAAATAGCAGCTTGTCAGGGATGAGCCTGTGTGAATCAGCCCTTGGTTCAAACTGGTCTGATGCTGCCATGTATTTTTTTCTCCACGCACACAATTTCAGTAAAAAAACCTGTCCTTTGATGTGCCGCCCTTTGGTTTGTTCAAAAGAAACACTCTTGTAAATTACTCTGATTATTCCAAATTGCTACACGAAATGGATGTTCATTAATTAGTTTAATAGGTTTTCTGCTTTTAGTTGATTTCCATTTTTAATCTACATCTTTGAGTAGTGCTCCATTATTAGACCTCATTAGCAATTTTCATTGCCTTTTTATAAAAAATTCTTCAGACTTCTTTAGTGTGTGACATGGTTTGGTGAAAATATTGCCATGAAAAGGTTAATTTTGCTTTAAAGGTTCTTGATAAAACTTCTCATGAAAAATGAGTAATGGGTCTCTATTCATTTATTCACTGCTCCCTTACACAGGAGATTTTGACTTTTCTTGTGGATATGGGAGTTTCTGTTTAAGTAAAGTTGCATGGATTTATCTCCCATATGCCAAATAAATATTTTAGGAGTAACTGCCAAGCTAATTTTTTTAATGTTTGTTGAAAGAACAGTTTCCTGTCCCTGTTCTTTGAGACAGTGTTTGCAAGTGTAATACATAGCTGTGTGGAATTATCCCTATATATAACATCCTTGTGTTGGTGTGCTGACAAATCTGTTGACCATGTGACCTGTGCTGACAAATCTTTACCACGTAAACAGCCTTTTAACAAGCTACTGCTTGCTGTAGGAGGAAGCTCAAGGCATATTTTAAGTACTTTTAGTTAATATTGTTTATCATTCTATTCTGTATGGTGATGTCTTACTGTTGTAACAGAAGAATGAAGTCTGTGATCCATTTTGATGGAAGGAACAATTTTTAAAAGAATGTGTTGAAATTGAAATCTTGGAAAAAACTGATTTTTAGAGAGCAGCTGGAATTGGCAACAAGGCCACACTAATAACAATGCAGCATGACTACTACCAGACTGAAGTAACAGACTGATACAGATACTTAAAAGCTTTTTTTCTTTGAAAGATTACTGTGTATATATCTTTTGTATGACTGGATAAAAAGCATTTGGTGGGAATGCCTGGAGATATAACTAACCAAATATGATTCTTTTCTTCATAAATTTATTGACTCCTTGCCAGCATCTATGTTAAGGTTTCTGCCTTGGGTAGCAGTTCAAAGTACCATCAAGCTGTTAAAAGTTTTTCTGTCAAAAATATTTTTAAGAACTTAAAATCCAAATATCCTCTGTAAAAAAAATATACTTTAAAGGTAAATGATTATGTGCATGTGAAAGCTAATATTCTTGACATCTTTCTGGTTTAAAAATAAATAACTTCTTTATTTTGAACAGACTCACACAATGAGTTTTATCCTGTACCACCTCCATACAGTGTAGCTACCTCTCTTCCTACATACGATGAAGCAGAGAAGGCCAAAGCTGCAGCCATGGCAGCTGCTGCAGCTGAAGTTGCCCAGCGAGTAAGTGATACAGTTCTGCTGTATTTCAGTTTTGTGAAATGTGTTAGGTTAATTATTTACAACAACTGGGCCCATATTATGATCCATTACTCTAATAATGGTGCACTGATGATTCAAATATTTTGGATGTTTAGGTTTATATAGATAGTGTAAGTTAGTTGTGAATACTATAAAAAGCATGTCATATTCCGTCTTTTGAAAGACATAGCTGTCAAAACAGCTTTAAAAGCCCATTTTTGTCCTGCTTTAATAGTTTAACCAGTATTTTGTCAATTTTTAATTATATATCCCTTATTAATTTTATTTTGTGGAGTTATCACTAAAGTGTACTGTTTTGGATGGTAAAACCAAAAAAATTTCTAAAGACCTTTAGGAAGGAAGGGAGAATTTCAACAGTCTGGAAGGGTCATCACCCCAAATCATGTAGACAGTTTTTAAAAGGAAAAGTTCCCGTTTGATCTATGGAAACTTAAATACTGAATTTCAAAGAAATGTTGAACTGAAAATGAAGTTCAAAGAATTTAAGTTAGAACTTAAAAAAGCCCCTATATGAGTTGTGGTAAACAATTAATAGGCATATATTCAGTGTGTCTAATTTTGTAAGAATTAACCTTATGAAGTATACAGTCTTCAAAAGAGATGATTGGTATCTGCAGTTATTGGTAAATGTTAGTTTTGTAAGCAAGTTTCTTCTTTTCTCTAAGGTTTGGAATGTGGAAATTCTCCTACTTGGTAATATTGACCATAATATACTATACCCAAAAAAGGCTTCCAGTGCTTTCACTAAAAATCTCCTCCTTGAGATCAAATGTATTTACATTTGATATAGATTTAAAATCTTGCTGGCTGCAGTGTGCTTGTGACTGGAAAAAAACCCTTTACTGACCCAGCAGGAAGCAGGTCCTTCCTTGACTGCTGCAGAGTGCTCACAACGCACAAATGCATAGCTAATGTTAAAATGGGTTTGTGTCACATCACCAGTGACGGTGTCACACAAATCTGTTTGACTGAATTCGGTAGGAAACCATGGAGATTTGACTTGCCAAATTTCAGCAGTGAGGGGATGATCTTCATTGTCACATTTTATCTGTTCTAACAGGAGCATGGATTCTTTGTAGTCTGTCCTTACTGCTTGTCACATGAGTAAAACTTTTGCTGAAATACTGGTCTGAGGGAAACCCTTATTCTGAAATTACAAATTTGGAGCATTAACAACCTGAACCCTAACTTGTGGAGTGCCTGTGACACTGCAGACAGGATATGCAGCTCTTGCTCTTGTTCTTACATCTAGAACCCTATGAAATGCAAATTTCAGCAATTTCAAGCAGTCTCCTTTGACAGCTCAGACTGAGGTTCGGCCAATTTCCAGAATAAAGCTAAGTGAAACAAACAAACAAAACTCCAAAACATAACAAGTATTTTTTTTGTCTTGTCATATTAAACTTTTATTTACTCTTTCTTATAAGTTCAGGTCACTGTGACAGAAACCTATTTTTCCCTTCCTTCAACAGTCTTACTTGGTTTTGGTCAAACCACAAATTTTTGAAAAATTAGTTTGCTCAGTTGATACATACAGTGTTTAAATTTTTTAAATGCATGGAGAGATGGTCTTGTATGAAAATATTTAGGCTGGCTATAGTTCTGAAGGGGATGGCACTTCAGATGTTCTGTTCGCAGAGAACATTCGCAAATGTTCTCTGAGAACAGAGTTCAGAGTAGAATTACAGAACTAAAAGTAGATACACCTTATGGCTGCTCTTGGCTGCTTTTGGTGAAAACATTGGACCTGAGAAAGAGCAATTTCTGGTGTGCCCTGAAGAGTTTTATTTTTCTTAGTCTTCAGTTAGAAGGGAAGGGGAAGGCCACTGGATTCAGCTCTCTTCAGTGGTGGGTGGAGGAAAGAAGGACAATGGCTGAGCCTCTGAACCTTACATATTGTGGGAAGAGAAGTCTGGTTTTGATTGAGCAGGGAGGTAACTGGCTCTAGCTGGGATCAGAGAGGATGGGTCTAAGTCAAAATAAGAAAAGGCAAAGATGAATGGAGGGCAATTGTATGGGCAGAGTAAAAAGACTTAAATGAGAAACAGAAGGGAAAAGGATTAACTGAGATTGGTGGAAATGGGAGCCCGAGTGGGAACAAAATGTAGTAGTGGGAAAGGGACTGATGCTGTTGTGTGAGAAAAGAAGACCAGGGAGGGAAAAGGAATCTGGAGGTAAGAGGCAAGAGAGCTGGATACAGTGATTAAGTGAGAAATAAACTTTTTCACAGTCTGCTTTGCTAGAACATACAGGAGAGCTTGAAATTCAAGAACTACATGCTGACACAAGAATTTCACTTATGAAAAATCATTTAGGAGCATGCTATCATTCCCCCAAAGCAGAGATTGACTGAAAGATTCTAGACTTACGGCAGTACTAAATTAGTATCAGAAGCGTATCTGAAAGTCACATTCTTGCTGAATGCTGAAGAGCTCAAGTTTGACAGTAATTCTGGTCAGTTTGCTTCTATTTTTTCTTTTTTTTTTTTTTTTTTTTTTTTTTAAGCAAATGCGTGCACACACACAAGCTGTGTTAGAGAAAAAGCATTAAGGTTGCAAAGTTGGGCTTTGGGGAAAAAGTAAGAAATGCTGAAGCTGAGTTTCAGTTTTGTAGATGATATTAGAATTATGTGCCAGTGCAGTTGTAATTACTGCTGTTTTAATTATCTTACCACGTGATGCTGCCACAAAATCCCTACCTTATTTAATACCTCTGGTCTTACACTGAGATAGACTAAGACTGTGTAATAAGACTGTCTTAATGTGGCAGAGGGCTGGAATAAGAAAGAAGGCTTTGTTACAGTTTGAGTGGTGGTGTGTCATCTTTAGGGGGGGGTTTAGCTCTGAATAAACATGGAAGAACAGATAAGTAACATAATTATGTAACAGTAGTGCAAAGTTCAATTGTTTTTCACTTTTACAAGTGACAGCTGCAGACTTTATCAGACCTGCATGTTACACACGTTGCAAAACATAGACAAATCATGTAGACATGTAGATTTTTCACTTTTTATTTTCAGCCTTATGGAGTCAGTGCTCTTACAAATGTGAACTCTGCTGTGTTCTAAGCTTCTGGTTTCTTCCTTGTAAACAAGGATATATTGCCTCTACTGCAATGATGTGAACAGTTGGAAGATGTTAAATGTCCTTATGTTACCTTGAGTGATGTGTGAAGCTGATCATTTTCATGGTGTACTCCAAAGTGCGCAGTGAAGGTTCAAATCTACCCATTAAGCAAAAGAGAGGAAAATGACATGTAAGGGCAGCACACTTAATATGCAGCTTTCATTTTTTTTCCCCCAAATCATGTACGCCACTAAAAAAGATCCTTAATGTGATCATGTTAAATACTTCATTATAGGCCCTGTATTAACAGATAATATGAACAATCTAAACTTAACATTTACTGAAGCTTTCAATAATTTTATAATTCTTTGTGTAGCTCGTCTTGCAGGAATAGATTGTATATAAACATGTATTCCTTTCAAATGCTCCCAGATATCTCATTTATCAAAGAAATTGTACTAGCCCTGTGTCATCAGTAGTGATAGCATTAGTTATCCTGGCTTTTTCTTTTCAAATTCTCAAGGTCAGTTTTGAAAGGGCAATTTAAATGGACAAAAATACTGCTGACAGTTTAATGACTTTATTTGTATGTTGCAATGAATGGCTTTTACTTAATGCTTTTCAGTTGCATTTGTCTTATGTTTTTCTGTTTTTACATGCTTAGCACGCCCAGTTTAGGGAATCTAGGAGTCTGTTTGATGAAATATTCCTCAGTCGTCCAGAGGTATGGTATAGTTCTCTCTAGTTTAGACTTTGCTATGAATTTTCCTGCTGGCAAACCAAATGCTTCTAGGGTTAATTGTGCCTTTTTCCCCCACTATTAATTTCTCCCTATTGGTTTGTATGCTGAAGGTATAATTTATGGAGTTTATTAAGTAATTTAACCCTTTCTCAGAAGTTTTTCTCTGTAATCACTGCATTGGGAAGAGTTATATAGTTTAGGAGTTCTTTACTTGATTAAGATGGTTGTCTTACTGTGTGCTATATTTCAGTTTGAAAAAAAAGCTAAAAAACATTGAGGAGAAAAAAGAGTCCTCTTGCAGAATACTACAGAGAGCACTATAGTTTATGGGGATTTAATAGATTCAACTTCAATAGATGTTGTGTACTGTTTGTTGTTCTTTTTTTTTAGAGAAATTACTCTGTGTGACATGCCATTTATGTTGATAATATAATTTTTTCTTCAGATGTTTCTCTGGTCATAGGAGCAGTGAGTTTTCTGTTCCTACAGATGTCAGTTTATTTAGAAAGCAAGAAATGCTGTCTGTCTTCCTTAACTTGGCTAAATTTGTCAAAAATCAATGGCATACTGAAACAGTGTTGCATATCTTACAGATTTGTGTATACCATATCAATACCATATTGATAAAAATGTTATTATCTAACAGAAGTATTTTGTGAATATATGTTTAAGCATCAGTGTAGAGGACAGTTGTTCTTCATTGCCCATTTTCATTCCTCAGTGCATGGTGGCAAACAATTATATTTTGAAGAAAGACTAGGGCAATTGACACCAACCAGATTAAATGAGAGCACTGAAAGGCAATATTAGTGGGACTTGAGCAGTGGTCAATTAGAGTTTTTTGTCTGCAGGACTGCTTATAATACCTCATAATCCTAAATGATGTGGATATAGGCTGATTTAATTTCTTAGTATTCTAAGTATTTAATTTCTTAAACACTCATAATTTTTGTATGCTGGTTTTTGGAGACAGTAAAGAGAAATCAGTTTCATCTTCCTTTTTGACATGGAGTGTGATAAATTAATACTTGTTCATACTTATTTCAATTAAATTTTCATTTTTCTGAGGCAACTTTTACATGGAGTGTAATTCACTAATTGTTTCACACTGTAAATGCCAGTGTGAAGTACAGTTGCTAGCAGACAGTTTTTAAAAAGTCCAAATTGCAGCTCTTTTTAAAATGCCTTTTCAGCCCTTCCTCTCCTCTCCCATTCCTCTCCTCTCCCTCAGTCTTGTAGCTGCAGCAAAGTTGAGCTAAACAGATGCTTTCTTAGTCACTTAAGATGACCATTTAGGAACACCTGAAATTATGTGGAGTTGAATTATAGCCCCTTAGTATTGTTGTTTAACTGGCATTTTGTGCTCCTATTGGAATTGTCTGTGTGGATGACAGTGTTTTTTAAGTAAGTTTTCTGATATCGTGTCTTGGTTAATTAATCTGAAGTACGGTTCACAGCTGGAATTTCATGGCTGTATTACTAAGGGTGAAGCTGACTGCTCTGAGTTGGTAGAGCAGTCGTTTGAACACATTTTTAACCTAATTGCCATACCCTGGTAAATTATTTTGCCCTATTGACAAAGTGGAACATGTGACAGAGCTTTAGATCTCTATGCTTGTTTAATGCCCTTTTAGTGATTATTTCTGTTCTAAATACTTGTGGGTGAAACAGCCAAGTAAATTTCACTTGATCTCTCTTGATTTCATGTTTTTATAGGTATATTTTTATGTCAGTTCCAATACATTATGGTAGTAGCAGGAAGAATTAGGAGAAGAATGTTACCTGTGCTTCTATTTAGACCATTTTACTGCTGCTACTGACAGCATTATTTATCTTGTGTCATCCTGCATTGTTTTGATGTTACTCATTTAAGTATAAAAATGGTGTTTAATTGGTCTTAGTTTTCATCAGGCTCTTTAGGAAGTGTTGTCATTGTGAAAACTTTTTTGTTTGCCAGTCTACAGCTGGAGCAATGTTTCACCTGTGCATAGAACTTCATATATAATATCTGCTAAGTTCTGTTGAAAATCTGCTGAGAAACAAAGCAACTCTCACTTTCAGTATTTTAAGGTCCAGCATTTTGACATAATGGGAGAAATATTTGGATCATTTTGACTTATGTCTCTGTTTGCTTTCGTTTGACTTCAAGTGCTGTGCTTTTGGAGTTTAGAGGCCCTTTAGATAATTTTAATGTGCTCGCGCCCTCTAGTGACCCTGGAGGTGTTCTTTGCTTATGTTTTGCTGTGGGTTATAAAATTGCTTAGTGCAGTGCTGTTGCATCAGCACTTGATTTTAAGATACCAACCTTATTATTTTATATGAAGGAAATTATTAGGAGACCTTTCCAGCAGGAAAAGTATAGAGCAATACTGTGTGATGACTTTTCAAAAAATATTTAATAGTTTGGCTACATAGCAAGATAGTTACAGTAACAAAAAGAATTATGTTGTTTTTGATTGTCAAAGTACTAATCTGAAATAATTCTAGCTTCATTTAAGATGAATAGACAGTATGTATGTATCTTCTACAGAAACTTTTACAGAAAAATTTGGGCTCTGTCAATATAAACAACAAATAAGATTTGTTTTATAGTTATAAATTATTTTTTTAAAACTTCCTTTATGTGGACATGTTACAGAAATGTCAATTTTCTTCTAGCTTTAGAAACGTGATTAATGATTTATCCTATAGATAGTTATTCTAAACTTTTCACTAAATTATCACTAACCTGTAAATCCAGGAAGAAGAGTATCCACCACGGGATGATTTCAGTGATGCAGATCAGCTTAGAGTGGGCAATGATGGCATCTTCATGTTGGCATTTTTCAGTAAGTTATCTTGTATCCCAGATCTACTGAGGTATATCTTAATTGTACCTTTTTCCCTATGGAATATAAAAGAGAGCTGTAATAATAATAAATTGCATTAATGTACTGTAATGAACAGATTTTTCTGCCTGTGCACGGATATAATGGACACTTCCTGTTCCAGATACAGCAAATATGTTGCCTTTTTTTTGGTGGCATCTGTCACAGATAAGGGGACAAAGCAAAATCATAGTAAATGCTTGAAGGTCTATTTCTGTACTGGAAATACTGTCATCTTCTAGTTGGACCACCAACTTTAGTTCAAGGTCAGATCACAGGAATATGGCAATTGATTTTTAACTAAAAAAAAAAAATTAAGAGACAACGTGCTGTATAAAAGTTGCTGATGTTAGTGTAGTGAATTAAACAGCTGCGGGTTGATTTTTGGAACAAATCCAACCGTACTCATTTTCAGGTTGAACTAACCACTGTCATATAAAAATGCATTGTCTTCAGATAACCTGATTTCAGCCTTCACTTCAACCAGCCCTTCTGCAGCTCTTTGTCACGTACTGTATGTACACTGTGCATGTCTTGTAACTTGTGTACTGCATTAAGCAAAGTTAGATTTAGCAACTAGAAGCTGTTTCTATGAGGAAGCTGTGTTAGTTTTACCAATTGCTTATTTCTTTCTAATTTCTGAGGGTTTTTTCCCTTTCTGAAAGAAATGTGTTTGGCAACCTGGATGGAAGATTGGTGTTGTGGATATAGCTGTTCTGCTGAGAATTCATCAGGATTAAAGCTGGTGGATTATCCACTGAAGTCTCCATTATGTCTTTCCACCTATGTTTCCTAGTAGTTCTTTCTCCTGTAATCTTTTTTTCAATATCTTTAACTGTTGCAGATGTAGGTTGCAATACTTTCACAGAAGCTTTTCTTTATGTATGATGTGGTGTTTTCATCTTGGGATAGAAATATATGTGTCTGCCTCACAAAGCTATAAAGAGTTTATAGAGTAGATATTGTAGTCTGACCTCTTTTTGTAGTTGGAGCCTAGAAAGAGTATGTTCTTGGGGGCAAAGGGAGGTGTGACTTAATTTTTCTTTTTTGCTTTATTTTCCTCTCCCTTTTCTATGTTCTAAAACTTTTTGTATTTAACCTATTTAGATCCTTTATTGTGTGAACTTGTTCTTCCTTTTAAATTCTGGTTCAGGCCTTCATTAGCAGTGCACTTCGAGGCCAAGGAGATCAATTGCTTTTATATGTCTTAAGTCCTTTAAGTCACAGATGTCCAAAATTGCATTCCCAGAACCCTGTGTCCACCTTCAAGAATACAAGTATGTACTTGGATAAACTGTCAGCCTTCTCTTCCAATAGGTATTTAACCGAGTCTGATTGCATAGAGCAGCTCTTAGACATTGGACAAAAGTACTCTGTAGAACATAATTTTTCATAATTGTTCTGAGATGATTTTATTGCAAACTTTGCTTACCTATGAAAGAAATGCATAAAATGAATACTTAGACATTGTAAGGTATTCGTGCAAGTGTGTGTTTAATTGGAATGTGTGGGTTATTATAAATACTGGTTACATAGGGAAATTAATAAACTTTACTTGCTGTTTGTGCTCATAGTAGGAGGAATTCATGAAAACATCGTTATGGATAGTAATAGAAGTGTAACGTTAGGTTTTAGATGTTTTTCTTAGGAAATTGGAGAATTAAATGAAAATTGAGCTTAACATAATGCAATTATATGTTATTTTTGGTCGTGTATTCATGTTTGTCCAATAAGGAGAAAAAAAGTCTCCAGAAAGTTGATGTATGTAGATGTAGGAGAGCAGCAATTAAAATGAAGTTTACAGTAAGGATATCTTTTGGGTTTTTTCCCAAGAGTGGGAAATGCTGCAAGTAGAGGTGGTAGATCATGGAAAGCCTCAAATTCCCTCACATAGTTAAAATATAGGAGAGCTGTATCAAGAATTTTTCTCTCATGAAATAAGAGTGAACAAATGGCTCGTTAGATGTGTTCTGCCACCTCCTCCCCGACTATCAAGTATAGCTTTGGAAGACCTTGGGGATGGAAGAGGGGGCAGATAGCTTTGTTTTTATAACAGCAAGTTAGCATTCTTTAATTTCATTTTATTCAAGTGAAATGTAGCAAAATAAACTTTTTACTGAGCTTACCTGCATATTGCAGTCACTTAGTAATATGTAGCCTCCATCTAGTGGTCGCTGCCCATGTTGCAGAAAATCGCTGTCTCCAGGCCATCTAGTGGCCAGATCTGTTTGTTGGGGGGTTTTGGTTGTTTTAGGAGCCTGATGCATGTCAGTTACAGACCTGTTTCCTATCTAAGCTATAAAGTGTTACTCTGTTTAGCAGAACAAAACAGAGTAAGCCAGTGCACACTAAAAAAGTGAAGTCCTTTGGCTGAAGAAGTGGATTTTATTGCTTGATCCAGAAACTTGGTGAAAAAATTTGGAAAACAATCCACTTTATTTCTAATATATGGTAAAATTGTGTTTCAGGAAATTGGTGTTGCCCTTAGTCTGTGATTATGTTGGTGAGCTAAGAATCTGCTCTCTAATGGTCAGGACTGGTGTCTGTCACCTTCTTATTTTAAAGGAAATGTGTATATATATGAATGTATTCATTTTGCTATGAATGCAAAGTGGGGAAAAAAATTGCTATCAGACCACTTAATGTATTTTTTTCTGTTTTGTATTTTTAAGTCAGCTCTGCCTTATACAGCGTAGTAGAAATTTTCTAGAATGCCAGAGGAAGTTAGTAGGTGAGTTTCTCAGAGTATTTTTTTGTATGCACAACAAAAGGGAGGAATTTCTGAGCTGTATCTTTCCATTTTGAACACAGCTGTAATTGTGATAGGGCAAGTAAGTGTCACTAAAAAATGGTTCAGTTTTCATGCTTCATCTGCCTGTAGTGGAAGTCTTTTGAATTATGTCTAGTAAACTCATACACATATATTATGTGAAGGAGGTCCTTTTGGACATTATTAAAAGGCTTATATGGTTTTCCTTTATATTAAAGGAATATCTTTAGAACCAACCTTTTTTCCTGTGGACCCCAAGAGGAATTGTGGAGCTTATCTGAATTCTTTGAAACCATGTAAAGGAGTTTTGTTTCCCTACAATATAGGGAAAATGAATTCTAACTTCACAGATAGGTTAATGAGAAGATAAAATGGAGAAAGGTGTCCAGTAGTACAACCAAAACTTAAATTCTCATGCAGAAATCTGACCTTTTTTTAACATCTAGGCTATTTAAGCGCTGTATACAACTCGCAGCAATAAAATCTTGTTTTACAGGGAAGTAGAAATGTACATGGTGTCCTAGATACTATATTGAAACAGAAAATAACTGTACCAAAGTTTTATAAATGAATGTTCATATAGTTTTCAAAACTGTTAAGTGCCTCAAACAGTCAATAAAGCACACACAAGCTGGGATACCTACTTTGGGGGTTTCAAGGGGCCCAAGTTGGAAGGCAGAGTTGTAGCGCAAGCTCAGGGTGAGCAACAGTGTCCTGGTGTGTGCTTCCTGAGGAGTGGTAAGCATGATTGAATTTCCCATGGGGGGCTTCCTCTATGTAACTTTAGGAAACCTGACTTGTGTATGTCTATATCACAAATGTTATGCAGGTTTCCCTTAGTCATGCCAGAGAAGCTGAAGAGAAGTCACTTAATTAAAATTATAAATATTGGGAGATAGAGGAACTGTTTTGAGTTCTTATTTCTCTCTGGTCATTATGGACGGACTGACTGACCTTCATACACAATCACCTAACTTCTTTCTTACTGTAGAAACAATTTGACTTGCATAGTTTTTTCTGTATGCCTTAGATATAATACAAAGCAGTTGGAATGAGGAAGCTTTGAATTGGGTAGTAAGAAAAACATAGCAACAAGAAGTAGGAACAAAATGCTAAGGAATTTTTCTGAACATTAATCAGTAAGAAAAAAAATTATTGGTTTTCTGTGGAAGCTGATAGCAAACACTTCCAGTGATCATCATCAGACTGTAACTGAACCTTCAGGATGGAGCAAAGATGTATCCCCGTTAAAGAGTAGTGAAACAAATTGTACACAGGAATGGGAAGAACAATTCCTAATGGTGCATGAAAATCTGGAGAGGATTATTTATTACTGCAGTATGCTTAGTAAGTCTAGGCCAGGTAGAAAACATTAAGCTCTTGTGTGTTTGCTAAATATTAAAATAGTAAGTAAATGAACAAACAAATTGTGGAATAAAGGCTATAACTGAGCATAAGTTGCTTTTTGTGTATGTAGTTGCCATGATAATCTCATTACAGGCTTGAGCCATGGCTAAAATTTGGAACATAAGGTTTCAGATCAGTTTTACTGGCTTCTTTTCATGATACTGAATATAAACTTAAAACAAGTGATTAATGTGTAGTTGTGGAAGTCTTAAGTAAAAAAAGATCAGCAGGTGAAGTGCAGGAGCATCTGGGGAAAAATCCCAGTGTAATGCACTTGTTATTATTGTTTCATCTGGTGTATTTCAATATGTACAACTCAAAAGTCCTGTACTTTGTATTTTGGCTGGGGTTATTTTACTGAAAACCTGAAGGAGAAATACAGCATAAATGTAGCAACTGCATTGGATCACCAATACTGTTTATTAAAAAAGACCTTTAGTCGAACCCTCCTCCTCCCAAAATACCAATTTCTTATGTGTTTCATTACGAGTTTTGTTGTCATGAGGAGATAATGCTAATGTTTACATTCTTTTAATGTGAATTACATTTATATAGACTTAGTCTCTCTTCATCACTTCAGGAGTTAGAAAATTCAAAAATCATACTTTTATCAGTCCCACTTCTCTGAATGGTGCTAAAGTATCAAAAGTAGAAACTGAAATCATGATGCCAGTGCAGTCAGCATGAGTTCACCTAAATATCTGAAACTTATTAAAGGAAAGTTGACAGTAGTTGAACATTGGGCTTAAGTAGGAATGGATCACTTTTGGGATAGAAAACAATTCTTATTGCACAGTGGTTTGATTTGTACTGGAGGTCTACAGGATGCACCCGGAACCTGGCTGCATGAAGAGAATAGGCAAGCAAAAATTAGAAATTCTTTTTTAGTTAGAATCATGATGTGGTTGAAGCAGATCATTAAATTTTTTTTCTCCCTCAGTTTTAGAAATGGCTTTCCTTATGTTACTGCTGTCGTGGCAGCTCCATTGTCTGTGTGGGAATGTCATGGAAGCTGATGTGGTATGAAGGATGAGGTCACCTCTTGAACAGCTGAGCAATGTCACTGAGCACTCACAAAATGAGTAGATGCAGAAAAATAATGGAGGGTAGGATTTCTCACAGCAAGGAACTTGTACAACAACTTAGTTGTCTCTAGTAGATAGAGAAGGAAGTTGGTAATTCTAGAGAAATTAGTACATAATTCCTTTTACCGTTCACTCCCCTCACTGGTCTATTTTCTGCCTCAGCTTGATGGGGGAGCTTGTGCTGTGGCTTCTCTGTGGCAACATAGGGATGAAAATTATGAACAACATTGCAATAATAAGTCAAGACAGGAATTAACTGCAGTAACTCCGATGTAGTGTAAGTTATAAAGATCAGAGCTTGCATGGCTGACAGAAGATACTCAAGGATGCATATGATGAAAAAGATAGGCAAATGAGGCAATTGGAAGGAACTGTAGTCTGCTCAGAAGCTGGAGATGCAATTTTGAAAGCAAATATTTTTTTGTAACCAGTGAGACAAGGAGAATGGAATGTAAGAGAGAAGTAATGGAAAAGATGGAAAACACGCAGACAGTATTGTTGCCCTTCTTAAGTTTGTTAAAATGATGGAACACCAAGGCAGTGTTGGGAGAATCTCCCTAATACATTACCTGAGTTTTAGAGAAGTGGAAGTAACATGTCCCTTCTGCTGCTGAAGGCACAGATTTTTTGATTAGGTCCTCACTGTACAAGTTTTCTAGCAAATGGTTAGCAATAAAGACTTAAATAAGGAGATTTTTCTTCTGTATGTACTTCAGTTTTATTGGAATGCCTGAACTTGCATAATTTACAACTTGTATAAGGTTTATGTATTTTCTGCTTGCATTAGCTGCTTATGTAACTTGATGTAACAGGAGACTGATCAGACAGAAGAAAACCCTTGCTATGAGCAAGACTGGAACATGCTGATGCCTTTAATTTCAAGGGTTGGGCAAATACCTTGATGTTAAATATCCATCAAATACTCATGCAGTGACAGTGGTTTCAATTTTGAATATTCCCTTAGCGTTGAAAGTAGGGTAAAATTGTTAGTACTCTTCTTTAATTATAAAAAATAATTTTTTCCCCTCCTGTATTTATGATTGGGAAATCTCTTACTTTTCTAATGTATTTAAAAATGAGTTGAGGTACTTTAAAAAAATATATCTATTAAAATTGTACATATTCTGAGAATTTCTCTAGTCCTCATAGACCGTTAGAAACATGTGAATCCTGTGTCCTTTTTAAGAGACCTGTCATTAGGTATACCTAACCATAATCAAAGTCACTCTCTGCAGCTTGAGTACTGGGGTGAAGAGCAGTAAGTTCTTATTCTGAGACAGGATCAGAGAATGCATTGAATAAGGAGCTTTTGAAATCTGTTGCTGTTAAAAGATGGTGGTTTTGTAGAGCTTGCTTAAAATAGGAAAATCAAAACAGTTTATCTAGGCTCTCCTAAATGTAAATGTGGCTTGGAAAGATAGATAAATGTTAGGGTCACAATGTTGTTCTGTAGGGTTTTTTTTTTAGTGGGGATTGGATTGGTTTAGTTTGTTTCCTCTGCAAATGCCAATTTGGATCAACATCTGTTCAAAGAGTTATTTTTTTAAAAATTTTGTTTTGATTTATTTTTTGGGTTCTTTTTAGATTAGTAATTTGTATAAAAGTAAGATTTCTTGTTACCATCACCTGTTACCCATGCCTCTGACCAATGCAAGGTGCTTTCTCGCTTGTACTAAATGACTGTTTCGATGTGAAGCCTTCCAAAACTTCTCTTGGAACTTCAGTTTGTTTAAAGTTGATGGAATCCCACTGCAATTTTACAGACTAATTTTGCATTTGTGAGCATATCATTACATATCGTGTGGACTATTGGAAGAACTGTAAGAAGATTTTAAAGTATACAAACAGTGGGGATTTTATAGATAGTATTTCAAAATGCTTCAATTAAATGTTTGAGCAATTTTCTGTTCCTAGTTGTGTGTTCAAACTTGAATGCAAGAGACAGACTTATTTTTCCTCTGATGGTTTAATATCTGAATTTTATGTAGCTAAGTTTGGGATTTTAAACTTTAAGAATTTGTGGACAGGGGTTTTGTTCCCCTCTGCCCCTTTTCCATTCCTCTTTCCCTCCTCTGTAATTCTTTTGTTTACTGTGGAGTTCCCTAATGTTTTCAATTTTGCACTGTCATGTTCTCTCCAGAATTCCTGAGTTGCCTTCTTCTACCAGTTCCTCCAGCTCTTCTGTTTGGTGGTTTTCTTTTTGGATGCCCTCACTGATTCCCAATCTGGGCCATTCCCCTGACTGTGAATTCTCACACTCTGATGTAATGCATGCAACCTGAAGTCAATACAGATGATGATGATGCTGATTGCCAAGTACATATGCAGATATGAAACTTTAAGTTGTTGAACTGGGGGTTGTGTAAAAGTGTTAATTGAAGCAATAGCGGTAGTTATGCTTAATGTCCTTTTTGTTCATTGATTTCTTAAACTTCTGTGTAAAGCTTACAAGACTTCTTATGTCTTATGAATATAGATCTAAAAGAGAAGACATAAATATGGATCTTAAAGAGCCCCATAAAATGCTAGCTTCTCGACCTTCATTTCTACACTAAGTTTTTGGAGCAAGAGTGGATACTTTTATTCTGTTCAATCCAAACTGGATAAAGCTGAATATGCAGCCTTGATGCATGCACATATGTGTGCATGTAACTACATTTTTGGCTATAAAAGTCTAGCAAGGTTTTTCTTCTTTGTTTTAATCCAAATCTTGTATGTTATAGTCCTTTTTGTGAATTTACTTTTCATGTCCAGTATAATCTTGTTAGGTGTCTATTGCAGTGTAACACTTCCTTTTATGTTGGAATTTTCTCTTGTGTAAAATAGTAGGTTCCAGCCTGTTTACCATTTGCTTTGTCATTAAGTGGCTATACCATGGGGAATGTCTGGGTTCAAAGTCAATCTCTGAAAGCCTGAATTACCGGAAGGGAATTAACTGACTGTGTAAGCATGTCCTTAGTAGTTTAAAAGTGAAATTACTGTTAAGTCTGTTTGCTTAGCTATACAGATTAACAGAAGCTACTGTTTCTTTTATTTTATAGTGGCGTTTATTTTCAACTGGATTGGATTTTGTTTATCCTTCTGTATAACAAATACCATAGCTGGAAGGTATGGTGCAATCTGTGGATTTGGTCTCTCCCTGATCAAATGGATTCTCATTGTACGGGTATGTTTCTTGATTCACGCTGTACAGGCTCTGTAGAACAAACCCATAACAATTTATTCAAGGGTCTAATAAGGGAATTGAGAACCAGTATTTTTTCTTTTTTTACCTGATATAGCATTTGATGCTCACATTTTCACTAAAATAAATGCAGGATGACTCATTCCTTGTACAAGTATTTAAAAGTCTACAGAAGAAATGGAGCAAGTACCTAAAATATCACTGGTATTATAGTGTCATGTAAAAAGATTTATAAGTCTCTTGGCCTGTTGAGAAGGGAATATAAGAAAGCATTTCTTCCTTGTGTTTTATTATTTTATTCTGTGTAAGATACATATGGGATCAGGTCCAACTTAAATATGAAGTTAGACACATTTTTACAATCTTAAAATGCTTGATTCTTGATATTTTCACTGCAAAACTAGGTACTTTTCCAAAAGGCACATTAGCCAAATGCAAGTTACTTAGTTAAGTGGATGCTGGGTGAAATGCAATGCTGCTTTCTGAACGTGAATTCTACATATCTGTGAGACACAACATTTAAAATCCTGTCCCTTTTAACAAAGAAAAAGATCTTGGATAACTTGCATATCTTTCATATTCTGCCATCAATGACTGTTTTAATTTATTTTTTTTTTCCTCTGTGTGTTAGTAACTTGATTTAGTCTTATTACGGTAGTAAAACATGGTTGAAAGGTTGCATGGCCCTTCTTGGACATGATCTACATCCTTCTTAGGGCTTTTTTTTTTTTTTCCCCTTAATTTCCTTTTGCTCATTCAGAGCAGGGAAATGCTGCTGGACTAGATGTGATTCTGGTGTATTTGTTGGAATTCAGGTGCTGAGATGAATTTATCTTAAGGGGTTTGGGATATTTTCAGCTTCCCTTAAGGCATACTAAACAGAAGGCAGAACTTGTTCATCATTTCTCTCCTGGAAAATGTGCCTAAAACAAATATAAAAATTAATATATGTCAAACTTCCTTGTAGAATTACTGTGTTCTAGACTATAATTAAATTATTGTATATAATCCATTAGTAATTCAAAAATATTAGAGCTGGCCAATTCCAAGACCTCAAGGTGGGGTTTTTTTTCATAATGAAGATCATCATGTTCCTCTGTTGTCTCCCTTCCTAGAGACAAGAGCAGAAAGCTTATGACGTGTTGTGTTGACAGTCATTTTAGTGGTGACACACCAGTAGGCCTGTGTGCACCAAATTGTTCTGTTCCTTTCTTTCAAGATCTTCCAAAGGCTTGTGTCACTCTTTTTCACTCTGGATCAGTAGTAAAAAACTTTTTAGTGTCTAAACAACCTGAATTTGCATATGCTTGATCTATATCAGTTTTTACTGGGGAGAAGGAAGAGCAGGGGGAACAATAGCACGATTTTACTATAGGGGAAATTCTGCTGCCATGGCTGACTCTACCCAAGGAGAGTAGGGGAGGAGAGTAATGCACACGGGCAAGTATTTGATTGTTGGTTTTAGTAAATCTTCTTTCCAATTAAATGAAATTATAACTATTGGAAAAGGATATTGATATGTTTGTGTGTGTGTATTTATATGCACACACATATAATGTTTAGACAATCGAAAGTACTGACTAACAAGTGAGATGGGATCAATGTCAATGTGTTGTCAAAATCCTTGGAATTGAGTATTTATATTGGGATAATGTAAATACCAGTTCTTTAGCTGAACTTGGCAGTTCTGTTTCTTGCTATTTTTTCTTTGATTGATGATAGAATTGAATAGAGTATATAAGATTAAACCCTCAAAAGAGTTCATGTGACCTGACTTTATTCTGGAGAAAATATGTGGATTAATTGAAGAAAAAAGCCAGCTTTATCTAGTGTTCTTTAAATGTCTTAGATTTTCATCTGGTTGCCTATGTGCCCCAGTATCTTTTGGCTGATAGGTTTTGGTTGTTTTTGTTTTGTTGGGGTTTTTTGTTTTGTTGTTTTTGTAGGGGTTCTTTTATTTGTTCAGGGTTTTTTTGTTTCCCCTCTTATTACTACTTGGTTGATATACTGAAATGTCCTAGAAAGGGCACGTAAGAAGCACTGTCAGGATGCAGTAAACATAATGAATGATAGCAGGGTAAAAGTGTATGGAAAGTGTACAGAGCTGCTAAGTAGGTTATTTTATTCCTTCTGGCAACTCTTCACTCATCTCCCCATTTCTACTTTTTGTGTGGGTTTTGGAGACATTTGATTAGCCTTTTTATCAGTGAAGCATAAAGTCTGGAGTCTGGTAAAGGCACAGATACCTGTCTCCAGTGTGATCACACCCTGCCCTCCAGCTGCCTCCCACTTCACAGGGAGGACAAAACTGTCTGCCATGGTCACTCGAAGGAGCAGTTGAAATGGCACTTCAAGGTTCATTTAGTTGCGTTCAGCTCACTGCTGGGAACTGAATGCTGGTTTGAAAATGAAAAGACTTTAATGAGTTGGGGGTCTTTATGGGGCTGGTATTTGTGGCAGCGATTAACAGTAGGGGGTATACAGAAGGTCAAAAGCTCTTCTTTTGTGGGGTCAGCAGAACATCCCTGTCTGATAAGATTAAACTAATGTGGCTTTTCGTGTTAATATCTAAAGCAGCAGGCTGCTGTAATGTGTTTGGGATGGCAGGCACTGGGGGGAAAAAGGGAAAATCAACAAGTGGTGATTCATTATAATAAAAACCTCAGATTACTGGCAAGTAATACAAGGATGTTTTTCATATATATATATATATATTTCTATGGCTAAACATTTTTTTAGAGATTTTTACTTAATTTGCTGCAAACCAACTGACACTAGAATTGTGTTATTTGTGTATTAAACTGCTGTGCAAATGCTAGTTTTGCGTTTTAGTAGGTTACATTGCTTTTATTTTAACTTGCTTTGTCCTCCATGCTTTCTCTATTTGCATAGTGCATTAAATATGTGTTAGTCATCTATCTTACTGCAGCTAAGCCTCATGTATGAATTTCAGTTTTCAGATTATTTTACTGGATATTTCAATGGACAGTACTGGCTTTGGTGGATATTTCTTGTACTTGGTAAGTGGCAGTTGAATTAATTTCTGTTTTGATGTGGAAGTACTCAAAGATGAATCATGTTATTGTAAATTAGAGTTTAGTAACATGTTTAGCTATGTGCTTTTCCTTAGCTGCTGATAGTTTTGTATGGTATTTTAATTTTCCTAGTATTCATGAAGTTATTGGTTACCATAGTGGTGTTATTGTGTGAACTGTGGACTATTCAAATACTCTTCAGCTCAAAAAATTTTGTTCTGCTTATGAGATTGTGTAGAACAGACTTGTAATTTATGCTTTTTAAGCTGCTTCTACTGATCTAGGAGTGCAATACTATGTAATGAAACTTTGGCTTTATGTAGAGAATGTATTGAAAAGTCAGTGATAAGTAGTATTTACGTATAGAAACCTACGTGTCAAGTATTAAATTTTAAGAAATGTGACTGAACCCAGGAAGTTGAAATCTGCTGACTTGTGCACAGGTCACAAAATGTCCTTTCTGAGTCCTTTGAAATGCAAACTGCATCAGCAGTTGCTCGGTAGGATGAGAGAATGGCTTCATGCTTGCTGATCACAGTGGTCCCATGATGTCAGCTTTCTCTTAAGAGTCTGCCTGCTCATGTTCAAAGTCTTATGCACATCAAATTCTGCTCTTCTGTTTCTTTTTAATGAGGATGTACCAAACTCCAACCACTATAACTTTTCTCCAACTATAATCCGTAATGATTTTGTAATATGAATATGGAATCTGGAATGGTTTTCTTTTACAGAAGTGAATGCTGTTATGCATTTTAATTTCTGTTTCCAGCTTTGGAAGCACGGTAAACTGTTGCTGTTCAGTAGGTGGCACTCTTCCCTTTGAGTCAATTGATTTAAGTGGCTAAGAGCAGATGTTAGAATGAAATATTGAGTAAGTTAATAAAAAACACCAACTCCGAGATCTTCACTGTTTGTGACTCGCTATTTATCTTGCAAGAAATGCCAAAAGTCTTAAACAACATTACCTAAAAATTTCTCTCTCTGCCTTTTAGTGGTGTTCAAGGGTATTCATCAGACTTTCTAAAGCCCACCTTGCTCTGCTATTGTGCACTTCGTTGCTTGGAATACATAAAAGCTGCAAATGTTTAACACATCAGAGCATCGGTCCCTTGAATATTTTCGTGTTGTTTGAGGTTATTGTATTGAAGTAGGTGAAATGACTTTTTGCAGGGACAAACACACATTGAAGTGAAATGACTCTTTGCAGGCACAAACATCACCAAATAAGTTTTTAATTAAAACCAAGCCCTGTGGTGCCTGAGATTGAGGTTTGACACCTTTTTTCACTAGGATGAAAATAGTATTCTTACCCTAGAACTCCCCCTATCCCCGCATGTCTTTGGAAAAAGCTGTAGTTTTTCTTTTTACTAGTCTTTTGCACATGTTCCAGAAATAGCTCACTTTAATTTGAGAAAGCCTTATTTTTGGTCTGAAGTGTTTGAGAATTTTTTATTTTTTCTTTGAATTACCAGGTTTATAATATGCTTTGGAATAAAAAGCACTGAGGCATACAGCAATCAGCATTCCCTTGTTTTATGTATGTTTTGCATGAAATATGCCAACAATTTTTTTAAAGTGATAAACTGGCTATGTGGTATTGCTAGAACACCATGGAAGGATTCTACATAAAAAAGCTACTTAGCAAGACATGGAGGAGTATTATCATGTCATGGGAACACTGCCAACGAGATCTGTGTTTCGTTGTTTTGGATAACCTTTTGTTAGAGCACACAAAGTAGTATGTCCAGTATCTCTCCAGAAGGGAATGAGTTTGACTTGTTCTTTGCCATAGCCCTTTGACATCCTTCAGCCCACCTACTTCCATCTCCTCTCTTCTGGTGTTCACCGATCTGTTTCTGCTTGCCTTCCTTCTTTCAACATCTGGAAAAATTGCTTATGTGTCACGGAAAAGGAAAGTGGTCTACTTCCAAAGAGCTGTCATGTACAGTGAAAAAATTGAAGAGAGACAATTCTAAATTTTAAATTTAAATGTTAGCCAATGTTTTTTATTGAGGAGCACAATGGAAAGTGTTTTTTCTTTCTTCCCTTAACAGAGAAATGTAAAATATGGGTTGAGCTTTGACTGGTTTTCCAACATGTATAATGCAAAAAATGTCATCAAGCACCTAAAGAGCTGCCTGCTGTCATTTTGCTCTTTCAGCTTCTTTTCAGTTGAAAGGGAGGCTATGTCTGGTGGCCTTTGGATCTGGCTTAGGTGAAGTTCTACTGGTTGGCCAAGCATTCTCTGTTGTCTTTTATTTAATTTTTTTTTTTTTTTTTGCTTGCATGCATGTTCTAATGAAGCTTTGCTTTAGAAAAGCAAAAGGAAAGTTAAAAAATCACAAACAAAAATAATTTAGAGAATAAGTGATCATTAGAAAAAATCATGGGCTCATCCAGGACAGCAGGAAGAAAAAGTGCATTATGTAGGAAAGAAAATAATTAAATCATTTGCTGAACTTATAAAGCCTCAGTTTAGATTTTCGTTTGATCTTTTGGAGTTTTAATGCACATGTGTATATTCACATAAGTGTGTATCTTCAAGATACCATTATTGCAAATGTGACTTCTCTGTGACTATTTTGTACATCTTTTTCCTCTTAGCTGAAATATTCTTTAAAATGCAGAGAAACGTAGATAATTTAAAAGATTTTGAAATTTGGAGTTGACAAAAACTGTAATATGTTGAGAAATTTCCTTTGGCAATTGTTCTTCCTCTACTTGGGTAGGTGTTTTTTCATCGATGGTTAAATCCCAAGTCATAAGCTACTATAATTCATTATTGACTTCTCACTAGAGCAAGCCTTACTTTGTCTTTTTTTTTTCCCTCCTTTAACTTGCAGTACATTTGTTGTGCACATTTTGTAAACCAGGTACTCTTCTAACACATTAGTAATTTATTTTGAGGATTCTACTTGAAAATAATTTGCAAATCAGATTATTTTACTTTTCAGGATTATTTTATTCCTTGTAAGTATTTTCATGCAGTCTTTTTCACAGATGATGCTTAAACTGAAAATCACTAAAATTTGTGAAAAACCTTTCATAAAATTGAATCCTTGTATCACACGATGAAAGCTGGCTTGGTTGTTGAATTTGTGAATGATAAATAAAGACTTCAATTTACTTTGTAGGCTAGATTTTTAAAATTGTTAATAAGAATAATGTGGTATAGTATATATTTATGTTAATAGAATTAACATTGATTATTTTGTGCATTTACTACACTTTCAGGACTCCTCCTGTTCTTTCGAGGCTTTGTTAATTATCTTAAAGTCAGAAATATGTCTGAAAGCATGGCAGCTGCTCACAGAACAAGATTTTTTTTCTTGTACTGAAGGTAAGCCATTTTTTAGTGCTGAGGTTATCTTTCCCAGGAAAACAGAGAAGAAAGAAATACTAAAAAATAAATAATCAAACTTCTGTCACAATGTAGATGTTGCATAATTTTTGAGCATCTGTCCTGAATATTGAACATGTATTCTTCATGGGCTTGGAGATGTGTGAAGTCTCCTACTTGAAAACAAATAATGCATCCTCATTGCCTCCAGTCTTCCCTGGAACTAATGTTCAGCAACAAAAATTAGGAGGAACACAATGTTTTTCCTGAGAAACAGTATCTGCTGCTGTTATGATACTGTCCTTTGTGCTGGAAAACTGACTTTAGTAGTCAACCTGTTGTCAGCAAGTTAGGAAGCACTAATCTGCCTGCATATTAAATCTGATTGACATGGGTCTGAACATGCAAACAATAGTTGAGTATTGTCTCTCTTTACATGACTGGATTAAGACAGTCATGTACAAGTATGATTATTGTGTATGCAACAATGTGCTTTATGTATCCTTCAGGTAGCTGACTAATCATTCTGGCACATATCCACTCTTTTTTTTTTAATGCTATTTATCCGTTAAGTGGATTTATTGGACTTCACTATGTAACTTAAACCAGGGGTCTTTATTTGCATTCAATTTATTTTTTATTTAAATTGCGTAACAATATAAATTTAAGCCTAGAAATAAATATTGCAACATTTTCATTGCTCTGCACTTCACTAAAAATGCTTAATGACTATATTACGATATATCTGAGAAGCTATGTTTGCTTTAAAAAAAAGTCTTTTATAAATTTTCTCCAGGATTGATCACAGGATCAGTTTTAATTAACCTGAAACACATTTTTGAAGCCTGAAAATGGAGACAGTATTTGACTGAAAAAAACCCCCGTGGTTATTTTTATATAAGATGGCAAGAAATATTTTAAAACAGCTAATGCTGACTGTGCTATACAATATGCACTTGATTATGAAATAAATCTGTTAACATAACTGCGGCATAATATTTCTTTTAAATGTCTTTTTTTTCCAAATTATGCAGTATATTAACTAACTGAGGTGTATATTTCCTTTTAGCAACCAATCAAAATTGGCAACTACATGGCAGCATTGCCTTTCTGCAATAGTTAGATATGGCATCTTTTCTTACTGTTGTGGTAACCTCTTCAGAGTACTGAAATTTGTAGACATGTGACTGAAAATACCTGTTAGCTTTCAGTACATTAAAGCTTGAAAATACTTTTAATATTAATTAAAGTAAATAAAAATTTTTAATATTACTATTTAATACTTTAAAAAGAGTTGTTAGGACTAAATGGTATTTGAGAACTGTAGTTTTAAGAGAATAGTGAAAGTGTAGGATAATCCAGTCTGAGGTTCCTTGCTCTTCTGCAATTAAAATTCTGCATTGGGACAAAACACTGTTTAACCCAGGACTTACTGAAGTTAATGAGCTGTTCTGTCAGAGTTCAGTGGCTTTGAATTTTTTCTTTTTGTGTAAGCATCACTGAGAGATGTGCAGGCTGCAGGCTCATAAGGTCTATGAGGTGTTTAGAAAGATGAACATGTAAATGTTATGTTTTTGAAGCATCTTAATTGCTGAAACAAGAAGTTCAAATTAATTGCTATCACATTTAAATGTACTTGTTTTTGTGTAGACAAGTAAGCTCCTCTACACTGATTGTTAATTTTAATGAATAAGAACCCCCCTACAGCTGGAAATAGGTGGTCTTTTGAAATCATAATAAAATAACAGTAAATCTTTGTGTTTTTTCTCCCATCCTGACACGGGGGATGGGGAGGCTGCTGTTTTGCTTGCAGTTCAGGTTTGCTGGTCACTTAGCAACGCTGCTTCTGGTGAGTCACGGCGATGAACTGAAGCACAACTTTTTCTTTATCTCCAGACTGCATCGAACAGACATTCCTTTCCTATGCTGGTGTGAAACTTCCAGACGATCTGTAACCCTCCAAGTTAATAAGATAGAAGACTACTAAAACCAGAAGACAAATTAATGAAAATATGGCTTCAAAAATGAATGACAGGATGGTTTATGATCAAGTACCAGTTCTGGTCATTCTAGTAAATATTTATAATTGCTGCCTTTTGTTTTAGCACATTTGGATATGTGCTCGTTAGAAAGATGGTATTGAAGTAAAAACAAACTATCTGTAAGTATAGATTAGGTACAGACAGACTCAGTTAATCTGTGCTTGTTGTATCTGAAAGATTTGAGTGGTATCTTTTTTCACAACTTGTATGTACCACTGACTTGATGATCTGAATTTCTGAGTACAATGAAATGCATTAAATGATTCAGATTAAGCAGTTCAGATAGTTTTCTTTTATATAATTTAGATTCATCTAATGATTGTATAGAACATTTTTAAGTTTACTAAACCCCAAAGCTCTTTGTCACAAACTTAGATTTGCCAATATTTCATTGAATTCAAACCAGTATACTGGTTTGTGCTAAAACTGATACACTTTGAGTCCCCTGTAAATAACTCTGCATAAATGATTGTTTTAATTGCTTCTTAGGAAATATGTCAAAATATATTTTGTAACAGCATATTATCTAAATTTTGTTTAATCTTAGAGCTATATACGTATTTTTTGTTAATTGGCTATTAAAAGTTTAGTTAGTAGTAGATGTAATTTTGGAGGTTTGCATTCTTGAGGTCACTATAAATACAACATCCACATTGAGTGCTTCTCAAATAAAAATCATACAACTACTTTATAATGCTTGTTTAGAATAAATACTACTTTCATAAGAACAAACTAGTTTAAATGCAAGGTAATTTGGGAAGTAATCAATGAAGGAAAAAGATTTTTTTAAAGCTCTGAAAGTAGAAAACGTGTTTTACCTCGCCCTTAATTCATTTAAGGTATACCATTTTGTTCTTATAAATATCATCTCTTTAAGGGGTACTGTCTACAGTTCATGCACATGTAGTTTCTTTTAAAGTTTGTGAAATTTATGCTTCTTCTTTAAATAGGAGAAGACATCTCTCAGTCCTTTGTACAACTGGAATCTCAGTTGCAAAAATACATTGGCTGTCGGTTGCACCTTTGAGGAAAAAAAGTACAAATAGTTTCCTCCATTTTTATTTTTAATTAGAATTCTGCTTTTTTACTACTAACATTAAAACCAGTGAGGTTTATGTTGTGTTAAGCTAGTGCTGTATTGAGTTTTGTATCTATAATGAATGTTTAAAATATACATATGTAAACATTTTCATTTTCCTAATCTTTCAGAGATAGCTGATAGTGACTAAAATTTTAGGGGCACCTCTACTTCTTAGCTTTTTATGGAAAGAAGAAAGTTAAGTACTATGTTCAATATCCTATTGGGATTTCCTTCTAAACTTCTATTTGTTTCTGTGTTCTTTTGCATTCATTGTCCAGATGAAAAAGAAGCGAATAATAAAGCATTGCTTTGTTTTGCTAATTAAGACTTAATGCTTTTTTGGGTTTTTTTTGTCCTTCATGACGAAAAATGCACACTGCAGTATTTGTGTCAACATGGAATTACAGACAAATTACCTAGTAAAATAGGTACTAATCTACCCTCCCTGCTCTTTTTCATCTCATGTTTTATAACAAACTGTGAGGACATTTCTTTTAAGGAGTTAATGCAACCATGCAAAGCAGGCAATATTGCTCCCTTTTCTATGCTTACCAAATTGAAGTAGACTATTTTTCAACTATATCAGTTTTCCCATATTAAGTAGCAACTTTGGGTGGAATTACTTCTGTTTGGTCCATGCATTTTATAGGAAGCTTCATACACATGCTTTGTGTACTACCTTTGAAAAATTCTCATTTGGTTGGAAAAGAATAGACAGGGTTAAAAATGCACACATTATCCAGTCCTTTATAGTTGATGCATCAGTTTGGAAGCCTGAAATCTCATCAGCAAGAGGAAGGGAACTGGGACAGTATTTTCAAAGGCTCTGCAATCTATTCCAGATGTGTCAAATGCTGCATATTTTCCTTGCTATTTCCTGTGGGCTTGGTTTGGAGCAGCTGGCTCTGTGGTTTAGAGACACCTGGCCAGCTTTACTTTGTGTCTTGGGGGTGTGGGGGGAGAAGCTCCAGTATCACAGTGAAGTTGACTGTAAATAGATTTTGTATGGATGCAAATAAAGCTTTGAAGCTTGGGACTAAAACAGCTGAAGAGGGGAGGTGAGGAGGGAAAATTCTGGTTTATTTGAGCAGATGGTATTGAAATTTTTCTAGTTTTGTCATCTACTTCTATTGATGTAGACACCACAGGAAGATTGACATTTTGAATGTGATTCAGGTAGCCTGTGGGACTCTATTAACACATTTCAGAAATGATCTGTCACTCACACTTTCAGTCCCCTTACAGGGCAGAGGTTGTTTCCAAGCTTCCACTTTGCAGTCTCACCTAAGGTATGGACACAGTCTTCATCCTGCAACACTCTAACCTGATTTCAGCACCCTGATCTTCCAGTATCTGCCTCCCTCCCTTTGATGATGACAACAGGTGAGGAAAAGTGGCTTTATTCATGTGTTATTGTAACATCAGAAAGCTTTTAATCCCTCTTCCACTTTTTGAGAATGTTTTCCCATAATACTCTGTATTAGTTCCTCCTGTGTGGTTGCTTATGTGGTTCACTTGAGCAGAAAACATTCATCTTATAAAATGAAATAGATAGCTTCCTGGACTTTTGAAAAGAAGATTAATAATCTCTGATATGGAAATAAATATCTCTCAATAAGGCAAAAAATATATTTCTAATCATTCTAGAACATGATTAACATGTGCACAGCTACCCAGAAACAGCAGTGTCCAGGTTATTGTTTCTCCATTTGTATGTTCTTTTCTGCCATTCAGAGATCGTTATCTTTTTTTCTTTATAATTCTGAGTATACTTTTACCATCTATATGTTCTCTACTTAGCATATGCTTTCCAGTTCCCCATCCCTTCAGCTTTCTCTGTGTACTGCCTATACTCCCTGCAAGGGTAGGCAGAAGGCTGCTCTACTTGATGTTGGCTGCAGTTAATAAATAGAGCACCTAGAAATTCTGAAAGGTAATTTTTTTATTTCTTACAATGATGGTTTGTATCCCCATAGTTCATGATTTCAATATTTCCCATATTTTTTATTATTTCTATAATCCATCCATATTTTATTATTATTTCTGATATGTAGTTGCCTTTCCCGCTCAACCCTTTTCAAATGAAATAAAGTAAGCTTTCTTGGATTTTTACCTGTGGTATATTTTCTACTTGAAGTAGCTGGAATGCAGTGAGGCTTAAAACAGCATCAGATCTCCAGCCCTTGTTCCTTTTTTAGGAACAAGAATGGTGTCTGTTCAAAAAAAGTTAAAAATGTTTTGATTTTTTTATGCTAAGGGATGGACACAGTTATGCCTATGTTTTTAATTCTTTTCTTCTAGTCTTCAATCCTAATCTTTCTTGTGGTCAAAGAAACACTGTGTGGGGATCTACTTAGTATAATATGAGAAATTCTTTATTGATTCTTCATTATACACAGCTGCTCATGCCCATCCTTATTCATTTTCTAGGTTGGTATAGTCCTGTGACTTCCAAATGCCCAGTTGCACATGGAACATGGGTTCCTGCTGCTATAAATTGTTTTTAAGTTAAATATCTATGAAGCATGCTTCACTTGGATGCATTCATTAACTGAATCTGGTAATTTATTATAATTGCAGTGGTGTTGCTGCTTCTGTTGTACACAGCTTACTCCTGAAGTCTGAAGTCTTAGGTGTATCTTGTCCAGATGTTTGAGCACAGCTTGCTGGTCGTACTGCTGGAAGTGTTACTGGGATGAAGCCAGTGCTGATCATCATGTAGCATGAGTGCCTGTGGGACCGTTTTTGATATCAAGCAGCCCTACAGAAGAGCTGGATGGGTACCTTATATGGGGGCTGTGGGGATAATGGCTTCATACTGAAAGAGAAAGCATGTTTCATTAAGATGTTAGGAAGAAACTCTTTACTGTGGGGGTGGTGAGGTACTGGAACAGGTTTCCCAGAGAATCTGTGGATGCCCCATCTCTGGGAGTGTTCAAGGCTGGGTTGGATGGGGCTTTGAACAACCTGATCTAGGGGAAGGTATCCCTGCACACATCAAGGGGGTTGGAATTAGATGATCTTTAAGGTCCACTCCAACCCAAAACATTTTGATTCTAAAATTATTCTTTGATTCTTTGACTTCTAATTAATTAATTTGACACACAATCTCGTGCCGTTTTCATAGAAAGTCTTTATAGGGATTTTTATTTTAGAGAAATAAAAAGCTGTTTTTGATGGATCAAATTTACCTCTACCTCTAGAAACAAGGAACTTCTGAAGACACCACTATTGGGTCACTCTTCTGTTTACAGAATGATGGAAATAATATCTGCAAATTAAATCAATACGCCATCTCTACCTGAAATGTAAATCAAATCCAAACTTAAAAACTTACTTTGAGAACAGTATGATGCTGTGGTTAAGCAAAAAAGGGAATTTCTGTTGTAAATAGTTATTGTCAGTCAGCTGTAGTGTTACTGTGCTTTGGATTCTCATGAGCTGCTATTTTTCTCCTTAGAAGTCAGTTTTTGGAGTTTTTTTTGTTTTGTTTAATGGTTTTATGGTGGTTTGGGTTTTTTTTTGGTAGTAAACTTGCATCCATTAAGTGCAAGAAGCACTAACATAATCCTGTGGTTATAAAACTAAGTTTATGCATTAGGAGTTAAATGTTCATGAATTCTGACTGAAAGCTGATATCACATGTTGGACACAGCAGGTTATGGATGAATGGGCTCAGGTCTCCAACTAATTCTTCATTCATAGTGATGGTGAGTGCTGCTACACATTATGCTCTGGATATGTCACAGACTCAACACTTTCAACACATTAATGAAGAAATCAGTATTTTCATCTTTATATTTTGTCACAAGTCTAATGGTGCTGGCGCCTTCCTTACCCTTTTGCTTAGTGTGGTACCTACACAAGTTTAGGGTTGAAAAATGTGTGTTCCCTCCCTGAATGCTCTTTAAAAATCTCAGAGGTGGATGCGATTCATTCATTAACACTTGTTTCTGATCTTGGCAGAACCTCTTTACAACTACCTGGTGCAAAGAGTCAGTACATTTTGTGACAGGCCGCTTAGGAATTAGCATTTTAGTTATAAAACTTGCACTTTTTAAAAAGAAGCTGCTGCTTACTAGAAATTTTAGCTTTTCAGTACCAGCAACAGCTATATGGGGAAGAGAGACCAGAACAATAACACTTCTTACTAATCATATCTAATATAATACATTCTTTAGTGTGTGAAAAATTTTGAGTACCATGTTAAATTATTTATGTTGAACAGTTTTTATACTTCTAACTTTGATTTTAACATTTAATATGAATAGAAGATGAACACATCTAAATGGTGAATGTTACAGTTCTCAGAGTTCAGAGGCTGAGTCACTTTGTTCTTAGAGGGTCATGAATCTTTGAGGTGTGAATCTGAAAGTTTCAAGAGCAATGAATTACCAAGTATTTAAGAATCAAGTTGATCAAGGAGGTATCTCTAAGAAATACAGCAAAAGTCATTGTGTGTTATTCTCTCCACTCCCCCAAATAAGTAAATAAGTCTGTCACTTTTTTTGCTTTTTGCCATTGCTGGTTGTGAAAAAGTATCTTCAGTTATGCAGTCTCTTGCCTTGCACATCATTGGCCTTGATAAGAACTCAGCAGAAGAAAATGGCCTTCCAATTATGCCCTTACAGTTGAACTGGTACTTGGGGTCTTCCCACAGTGAGCACACATAGAATTCATGATATAAAAATTGCCTACAAAGAAAACTAACGATTTGTAAGTTGAGAAGGTATCTGTTCTATGATACCAATTAACTTGAAATTTTGTGCACTTGCTGTTAGTTCTAAGGAATTTCTGGGATTGTGTTGTTGGGATTTTCTTTTTACCTCCGTGATCAGACTCTTCAATGAGGCGTTATGGAGCCAGTACAATTCTTAAAGCTGGCTATAGATGTTAAATCTGACAAGTGTGTGTGATGCAAGACAGTAACATGATTCTTGCCTCCCTCAATTCTCTTAAAGGTGTATAATGCAAGAAGATCCTGCAGCTTTGTTAATTCTGTAATTAAATTTTATAATTACATATTTTATATTATAAATTTATATTAAATATACATATTTAATTACATATTTTATAAGCATAAAAATTTATAACTTGGTAGTATGGCAAGATATGTTATTCTTTATTTGCTTTTTGTTTTCAAAAAGTCAAATAACTGTAAAAGGTCCTGTACCTGGGTTAGGGCAACCCTTGGTGTCAGCCCTGCTGAGAAGGGCTTGGGAGTGCTGGTGGGTGAGAGGCTGGACATGTCCCAGCCATGGGCACTCCCAGCCCAGAGAGCCAAACGTGTCCTGGGCTGCATCCAGAGCAGCGTGGGCAGCAGGGCC